TTTGCCTTGAGTTCGGTATCTTGTCATACCTTACTAAAGTTATCATTGTTTTCATATCTATACTACTTTCGACATATTTTTGTCAGATTATTCCGACGATTTGAATATATACCATGAATGGCAACTACGTAAGATTTATGATTGCAGAGATGAAAGCTATACAGTCTTGTTTTACAAACAGTAGTGTAGGAGTAGATGTATTAGACAGATGCACTACACCTTACATAAATGGTTTGGAGGATAAAGACAGCACAGTCTGCGAGTAAGTATACCACATACCATCCTACCTATAAATTATTAATTGTTTAATTAAGTTTTTAGTTTGTAAACATTTGATGCTAAAAAGTTATCAGCAGCACCTGCTTTACCAGAGACACCTGTAAAAAAGCAAAAAAAAAAACAAAAAAAACAAAAGCACTATTGAAATACAGGATATAACGAACGAGAAAGAATATCTAGTGCAAATTTAATTATAATACCCTAAATAGTCTACTTAACAGTGTTACTTTACATGGCAACAATACTAGTTTATAACCAGTCTATACAGACAACTTAGATTTTAAGTAACTGAGTTGGTTGACCGTTATGGAATAACCGTTTCACAGATGATATCGGATATGTTCCTTATGTCGTAACTACAATACCCTCCCTTTTCACGAATGTGATTTGCCGAATTAGACTATTTACCGGATTTGTAATAACATAAGCAACACGACGGTTGCCACATGTGGAGCAGGATCTGCTTACCCTTCCGGAGCACCTGAGATCACCCCCAGTTTTTAATGGGGTTCGTGTTGCTTAGTCTTTGGTTTTCTATGTTGTGTCATACGTACTATTATTTGTCTGTTTGTCTTTTTATTTTTGGCCATGGCGTTGTCAGTTTGTTTTCGATCTATGAGTTTGACTGTCCCTCTGGTGTCTTTCGTCCCTCTTTTTGAACAAATCTTTTCTATTTGAGTGTGTACAAAATGCCATGATATTAGGTTTGCTCGTTTAACTTAATAATTGGACTATGAGAACAATATTTATCTTTGTTCACAAACAGCTGATATGAAATTCATTATCAGCCGAACAAATGTTTTTGAAAATTGAACCAGGGAACACTAGCTGTGGACACGTAGCTTTTATGTCCTTATTGTATCTGTTGCTACGGACAGTTCCAGAGCTAAGGCAACACATGGATTCATAAGCAATCATCTTAATGTTGACTTGTTTTAGTTGTAATTTAAAGTAGCTAATACACAATTCATGGATTATAAACTAAAAATAAAAGCAAACAAAACTGTTATGCAAAAACCCCACAGTGAAATAGTTGTTACATATCTATAGAGCGACAAACAAAATAAGTGTCTGTTTTTCATAATCTTACCAATGAATTTCTGATTACAGGACAATGGAAACAATGACTCAATGTGTACAATCGTTGTTAAAGATTACGAACTGCAGTGATACCATTGGTAAAAACTATGAACAATCAATGAAATTACGAAAACAGGAAAATCCGTTTTGCACCAATGCATCAGCTCATATGTGTACAGAGTTGTATATTGTTATCATCAGTTTAATGCTAATCTGGAATAGAATAGCTTTGAAAATATGACAATAAATAATATTAGTTTGAAGTAAAGTAGATATCACTATGTGATCCATTTGTTATATAATCTATATTACGTCAAAGTAAATAACACATGATCCTAAATCTTATGTTGTAGATAGGTTTTTTCATTTTGATCATTTTGGTTTAGAAAAAAAACCAAAAAAAGCAAAATCAACAGCAAAACAATTACTTTAAACGACTTTGATAATGCTGTGTAAACAATATCCTCCAAATATTGTCGTTTATTTGTATTGGTTGTGCTGTTTTAAATGAGCATTTGTGTGTTTCTTTAGCAAACCCATCCTAAATGTTTTTATGTACGATATTTCAAGTTTGTAAAAATACGCTTTTTGTGTTTATCTCTCCAGTAATGGAAATGAAGAACACAGTACACATGTTGTTATTGTGATTAAGATTAATATCAATCTGATCAGTCATTTATAATACTTGGTCGTTCTGCAACAACAAACATGGAATTGTGTTTAATAATTTATAATATATTTCATTGGTTAACAACGAACAGTACTGTCTATGGAGGCGGGAATAGTATTGGTTAATTTACATTTTTGCTTTATAATCATCGTAATGTAATGCAGATGTTACCTGCGAAAGAGGGCGAATATATCAGGCATGGGGCGAATTACATTGCAAAAGTAATGCATTATATTACAATTACTTTGATAAAACCATGCATTAAATTACAATTACAATTACATGCATTTATCAAAGTAATGCATTAAATTACAATTACTTTTGCAAAGTAATGCATTGAATTACACATTACATTTGTAAATTTCATTATCTAGTGAAAAGAAATATCAATCATTTTGAAAAACAACATGAAGTCACAAAAGATTCTAGCATATGCAGTAACTGATCCGTCTTTCTTTGGTTTTAATGTTTCAAGGTATATATCTCTGTGTTTTCTCTAAAAAGAGATTACAGAGATGAAGTTTAATACTTGTTTTAACTTAATGTTAACTTTACTTTTATAAATATACATTTGGTTTTTTTTTAATTTCAATCAAAATATTTACTGAGAATTTCTTTCCTAATTATATAATAAACATAGAGCTTAATTTATGACCAAGTGTCAAAATGGTAAAAAGATTGATTGTTAAGTTAACTAATTTAGTGTTTTATGACAATGTTCAATTATGTGTTATTTAATCATGACAAGGTAATCATTGATCTTTTGAAAACTGTTTTTCAAATATTAATCTTTTTATGCAGGGAAATAAATGAAATAAACAACAACAACAAAAAACTCAATCTGATATACAGTGTTGTGTTATTCATTTAGAATTGTAATTTAGTCTAGTATTTATACCACTTTATTGTTATTTTTTAAATACAAAATGTATATATGTGTGAAATATTTCCAGGAAAGTCAAAATGATCTAGAAAATTCGACATGTCTCTTCTGTAAAATAATCACTTTTCCCTAAAGTAGATTAACCAATTTGTTTCAAGTTCTACCAGGAGCAAGGCTTAATCTCCAAATTCCCTCTAGTGATTTATGTAAAGTGTGAAAAATAAATAAAAATAGAAAATCAATATTCAAATGATTATGTTCTTAGATAATCGAGAAATCTTAAATTCTGCTTTAGTTAAATCTCCAACAATCTGTTAAAGATATATATAGTATGTGAAAAAAAGTAATGCCATGTAATGCAATGTAATGCATGAAATTACACAACTTTTTGCTAAAGTAATTCATTAAATTACAATTACATGTAATGCAAAAATTGCTGCATTACACATTACATGCAATGACTTGGAACAATGTAATGCATTACCATGTATTACAGTTACAAATTTGCATTACCCCATGCCTGGAATATACAAATATTCCATATAAAAATATGGAAATGTGGTATGATTGCCAATGACACGACTAAAATGAGAAACAATTTAATTGAGAAAACTATAACAGAACAATTTACGAACAAAATAATATGACATACATTAACCAACGACAACCAATTCTGTACATACACATTTAAATACGGTCTTTTGCAAAATTAAAACTACAGTTAAATGATTTTAAATCTTAGTGCTAAGACCACCATTTATTTGTACATTTTACAAACTGTGACATTTTAAACCTTGTTAATCACTATTATTAAAGAGTGTGGATAGAGTGACGAGAGACAGGGAGAAAGGAGAAAAGGATGGGGGGAGGAGAGGATAGAGGGGTGGGAGAATGGACTGGAAGGGTGGGAGAAAGGAGTTGAATGAAGAAAATGAGGAAATTCGGAAACAAAACAAAACAAAATATATTTTTAAAACATGATCTACAATTACTAAAAGGAATTGCAACATAATCAAACACTACCATTTGATTCAAAGATACAGATGTCTTTTCACACCATGCGTACGAGGGTGTATTGGAAATAAACTAAGACATTTACAAAATAAAATAAGAATATGTGGTACTACCTTATGATTGCCAATGAGGCAGCTATCCCCAATTTATCAAAATAATGTAAATGTTAGAAACTTAAGGTCACTAAATGGACTTCAACAATGAGCAAAACCAATATCAAATAGCATGCTATAAAAGACCCCTACATTGTACATGACAAAATGTAGAAAAATTCAACCATTCATTTTAAGTAACAACATTCTAGATTCACAGATTACAACGGATATGTTCCAATTGTCAAAACTACAATCCAGCCCCCTTTTTCCCCGAATGTGGTCTATCGGATTAGACTGATCACCGGGTTTATACTAAGATTAGCAACAAGTGCCACATATGTAGCAGGATCTGCCTACCCTTCCGGAGCCCCTGAGCTCACCCCCAGTTTCTGGTGGGGTTCGTGTTGCTCAGTCTTTAGTTTTCTATGTTGTGTTTAGTGTATTATTGTTTGTCTGTTTGTCTTTTTCTTTTTTAGCCATGGCGTTGTAGATTATTTTCGACTTATGAGTTTTAATTTCCCTTTGGTATAGTTTGCCTCTTTTTTATTGTTCAGGACTGAACAAAATGTTGAAAATTAGACCAGAAAAAAAAACTCAAGCTCTTTATCAAAATGTTGACGTTTGATATCACACTAGTATAGGAATTACGTTGCGAAATATATGTCACACAAAACGAAGTACTTTACCAATAAGTAGTTCGTTATCTTGAAAATAGTTATAAAAACGTAAAATAACAAAAATACATACTCCAAAGGAAATCCAAAACGGAAAGTCATTTATAAACTTATAAACTATTTCGTTATATTAAATTAATGATAAAGGCAAGACACCCCTGATTTCTGATATTGTGACTAATGGAAAATTCGGATATGAACTGAAAGATTAATGTCAGTAACCTATATAAATAAGGACATCAGAAACTATCATTATATCTTGTCCCTATCATTTGATAAGTCTATATCAGGTGATCAGATTTATTTTGCCACCTACTTATTAATGATGGTATTCTCTTGGGCTAATAATGTTCTTTCTGCAGGTAACATTTTTTCACAATTTTCTTTGACTAGTTATTAAAACCATAGTCGTCGTAAGGTATTTTTACATCAATGCAAGAAAAATCTTTATTCTACTTTCAGTATTTTAAAAGTTCTTGCAGGCATACATACTTGCACACATACATTTTTGTCTCTCTTTGTTAGTTTTGTATCTTACATCATCCAATAATCTGATGCTATAAATATTGATATGAACTACATTGAATCTAATATAATGTTCGTTTTTGATGATTCGAACGGGTCGTGTTTGTTTTTGTAACTTTGTTTAATGATTTAACTTTAATTGGAATCCGCTTGTATCTAACGCTTCGCTCAAACAAAGTGTATATAGTAGTCAGTCGAGAACCAGTTAATATTTAACTATGACCGGTTTCAAGATGTTTACTCGTGCAGTTTTTTCGATTGAAGATAATTATTTGATTTTCACTCTCAACATACTTAAATCCTGTTTGAGATTTTGCCCTTCTTTACCGTGTTGACCGCTTTTAATTTTTTTTTTCATTATACAAATAAAACCAAATAGTTGGTTAACACCAATTAGAAACTGCCTTAAATACAACCTTGAGCACTGGCCTGGAAATAGATATACAGAGGTCAATATACGGAATTTTACACTATGAATGCCTGGTTCTTTTTTCCAGCGTCTATTGAGAATATTTGAATGAATTCAATCAACAGCGAACTTCTTTAATCAATGTTGAATTCAGAAAGAAGGTATATACCACTGTCAAATTTTGTCAAATAGAAGAACTTAAATGAATTCATTTGAAACACATGTTTCAATTAGAAAAAAAGACACATCTATCAGTTATATTAGGTATTATCTTAACACAATCAAAACATAGCTATATAGCCATATACAGTTTTCACGTTTCTGTGAGCAAGCTGAATATTTATATTAAAACATGTCTTTAAACACTGACATATTGGTCACTGCAATATGCAAACAATATTCGTAATTCATTATGTAAGAACAACATGATAATTTTTGGCAGAATTCATAGTAACTTAGATAAACAAATATCAAATAAAGAAAAGAAAAACGTAACAATTCGGAAAACATCCAAGGGGGAATCAAAAATAGAATAACAGACCATGACCCCCTCTAAAAAAAGTAATAACGAATAAAAAATTAAAAAAAAAAAAACAAACCTAAAACCCAAAAATACAAATTTTAAAAAATCAAATAAAGCAAGAAATCTGTAGTAAACAAAACACTGCGCAGCAAACTAGAAATTGAACAACTCGAACCACGCCAAATATGGTGTGTTATTTAAAACAAAATAACAATGATTTTACCAGTATTATATAGTTTATTTACCCGAAAAGAATTTTATGAAGACTGCTGTGTTTCGTGTCATATAACTAGCATTGATATTTGTATTGATTCTTCCAACGGAAACAACAACAAAACATGAAAGAGAAGAAATAACAGTTTTACAAGAAGACAGACGTGACATGGCAAAAGACAAACATTTAACTATGACGTCACAATACACTTCGCAGAAAAATATAGATCGAGCAACACAAACCAACAAATATCCGAGTTTTAACATTTATTGTGAGGAGTTAACCAGAATGAACTTGATCTGTGTATTATTGTATCTACATCACCTATTTAGATACGGGCCGATTTGTCATATTGTTCCCAGATAAGCGGTTTATTGTCGAAGATTAAACGTTGAATTCTGAATGGTTATTTGATCGTTGGATTTATGTCTGATACCAAACATCTCTCTTTATTCATATAAGTTAACTTACAAACCACAATAACTTGTTATATTCTCGTTTGAATTGTTTACATATTTCATATCGGGGCCTTTTATAGCTGACTATGCGGTATGGGTTTTGTTCATTGTTAACTACTATGTCATTTGGGATCTGGTGGAGAGTTGTGTTATTGGCATTTATACCACATCTCCTTACATTTATATCTATAAATTCGTCTTGAAAACATAGTTGTAGAAAATCTTTTATATTAGTTGAAACTATTTGTTTTTGAAAACAATGTTTATACAGCATGTACAGTAATATTTTGTAAGGTCTAAATGATTTTAAAGTATGATTTCTATGTAAATGGTACTCCATTGCCCATAAAAATTAACCAACAGCTCTACCAGCATATTGGTATTTTCACGAGGTTCCATTGTGTACTTAACTTACTGGCATGAATAAACCATATAAAATGGTTTTGGCACGTATTTTATACAGTTTCAAATCGGTATATCATTCTTTGACTGCTATACATATTTGGCTATGCTTAATTAAAACAAATCAAAAAGTCTTATTCAAGGTAACAAAAAGTAAGTTTTCTTTGATACATTGTATATGACATAAAGCCTTTTGTATCCATAACTCTGTTAATACATTCTACAAATTTGTTATTGCCCTGGCACATATGATTTGTACAACTGGTAGAAAAACATATTCAGTGATTGTATCCATAGTTCACAATTTCTGAAAGAGAATATGTTAAAACAAATAAACAAATATTTTTGTTTTCTTTTGTTCAGGGAGCATATGTTTCATAGCATTCTCAATCGTAGACATGACCTATTCATTGCCTACGACGTTATCTGCCAGACCATATCCATCGAACTATACTTGTACAGACTGTTGTGATTTACAGTTATGTATGGGACTCGACAATGGACCACTGAGTACTAATTCTGGGGACTTTACCGACAAGTTTTGCAGGTATTAGTAGGATCTCGTTGAAAAAATAGAGTTTGTTTTATTTACATTCACCTCAAATATGAAAATTTAATTATTTAATTGGTCAGTTGCTGATTTTCAAAAAGCAAAATTACATTAATACTGTGGATTCATTATTATTCGTTGGATACCAATTTTTGTGGATTTCGTGGGTACAGGTGAACCACGAATTTAAATGTTAATGAACTACAAATTCTCTATAGGGTTGTAAGCAGACTTTGGCAAAACCACGAAATCAAATATCCCTGAAAATGTATGTTTTCATATATCCACGAAAATTGGTATCCGCAAAAATAAATGAACTCACAGTACAAAATAAGGAGATTATCAAGAAGACAACTATATCCAACAGAAATCAAATGAAGCGCATTTCAGCAGCTTAAGTTTATCTTTATACTTGTTTTGTAATAACTTCGAAAAAAAATTCAAAGCTAATGCAAATCAAAATGGTGTTTTTTTTGTAACACAGTTTTTCTAGGCACCGTAAAATATTTTGATAAAAGTTAGAAAACTTTTACCTTTTCTTTCAGTAAGACAAACATTGCCATTATGCCAACCTGTTTTACAAAGCACAACTTAGACAACTGTTCCTACATGAAAAAACTTGTCTCCATAATACCATCTTCTGATAAGATGTCAGAAGGCTTTATACAACTCTGCAAACAAAAAGGAGGTGAGCATAGCAATGATCAGCATTCTATTTATCTTCAGGTTTTTTTAAATACCTGTATGTATGTCCAATTGCAAGAATGTAGGTGATACATGTTTGTTTTAAAAGAGAGGCGAAGGATACCAAAGGGACATTCTAACTCATAAATCGAAATAAACTGACAACGTCATGGCTAAAATAGAAAAGACCAGCAGACAAACAACAATACACAAAACACAACATAGAAAACCAAAGCCTGCAAAAAAACTGGTGTGATCTCAGGTGCTCTGGACGGGTAAATGACGAGTGTTCATGTTAAATAGAATATTAACATGCTTGTTAGTTTCTGTTACATAAATGATGAAATATTATATGTCATAAAAAAAGGCAAAAGAGAATATTAAGCATTAGCGCATCATTAAAAATCGGTAGGAGTAAAGAAATAATTTATATTTTGAACAGAAGATGCACGTGGCAGATACATTCGACTCCAATCTTAATTGAATAGGATGTCAGTTTTCCTGCCGACCGTCTGTGATTTTCTCCGGGCACTCCAGCTAAAATATGCGTTAAACACCAATTAATCAATGAATCAATGGTTCATCCTACAATAAAAGATTTATTACATGTTTAAAATCTTTTAAATGTTGTCGTCTCTTTTTCACGTTAAAGAGCACATTTATACCACATTCAACAAATCAATTCAATACCTTGAATGTCATTTATGTATACATTTATGATTACAGAGATGAAAGCTATATCTTCTTGTTTGACAAACAGTAGTATAGGATCAGAAGACCTAGTCAGATGCCAGATACCTTACATGAATGCTTTGAAGGATAAAGACAGCGACGTCTGCGAGTAAGTACATTTATACCTTTAGCATAACATGCCATTCTACCCATAAATCATCAATTGTTTAATTAAGTCTTTAGTTCGTAAACATTTGATGCTAAAAAGTTATCAGCATTTCCTGTTTAACCAGAGACAACCGTAATGAAACTATTGAATTAGCTGATATAAGGAAATAGAAAAGAATATTTAGTGTAAATGTCATTATAATGCAACACATAAAGTTTATTAAACAGTGTTTCTTTAAAGGGCAACAAAACGTTGTAAAACCAGTCTATACAGACAACATTAAGATACCTTACATGACTGTTGTCGGAATTTTCAACATTGAACATTCTTTTGTTTAACTCGTAAAGACCCTCTCGTAAAAATAATTGACCATAAACGTTTTTGACAGTTCCGATTTTGGATTTCAATAATACAAATGAATAAAAGAAAATGTAGCAATGAATAAAAGAAAATGTAGCGTTAGACAATTATCTGAAAGAAAATGTGTTAATTAAAAACTTCATATTTTATAAACATAAAGCATTGCAAAGCATGTACTCCTGCTGAAAACCCTGACTCAAAATAGTTGATTTGTTTTACAAGTACATATGTAAGTAATGCATATATCCTCCTGATCAATACTGCCTGGTTTTTTTACCATTATTATTCATTCATAAGTTTGTCAAAAGATTCAAAGAAACAGCTATGTAATTGTCTTGATTTTGTCGATGTGACTTAGGACTAATTACCGTAATTATTCCATTTAATATTCATACATGTTTTTATTTTGCCAATAAACACATTACAAAAAAAAAATAAAAAAAATGTTGGATAAACGGTAATACAAATGAACAATACATATTACACTTTACACACAGCTGATATGTATTCATTATTTAATATTAAAAAAAGAACAAAAAGAAAACAAAAATGGTCGAGACAACACTAGCTTCTAAACTATAAGTCTTAGGTCATTATGATATTGTTGTGACAATTTGCCGATCCATGGTCCGCAAGTTATCATAAAATATCATAAGGACATGTGAGCTACGGTTCCGCAGCTAAGGCGACACATAGACCCATAAACAATCATATTAGTATTAACCGGTTTTGTTTCAGTGTTATCACAGTAGCTAATAAAGAATTCATGGATTATAATAAAAAAAAATATGAAAAAATGAGCAAACAAAACAGTTATGTAAAAACTCAACACTGAAATATTTCTTATCAATCTATATAGCGACAAATGAAATAAGTGTCAGATTTTTGTAATTTACCACTGAATTTCTGCTTACAGGACAATTAGTACAATGTCTCAATGTGTATTATCGCTGTTAAAAACTACGAACTGCAGTGACAACATTGGTAAAAACTATGAACAATCAATGGAATTACAAAAGGAGAAATATTCATTTTGCACCAACGCATCAGCTCAAATGTGTAATGTGCTGTATATTGTTATTATCAGTTTAATGCTCATCTGGAATAAGATAGCTTTGAAAATATGACATTTGAATAACTTTAGTTTGAAGCAAAGCAGACCTCACTATGTGATTTATTTGGTATATAATTTAAATAACGTCAAAAAATAAATAACACTTGGTTCTAAATCTTCTGTTGTATATATTAATTTTTCATTTTAAATACAAAAAAAAAACAAAACAAAATCCACATACACTAACACAACAAAGACATTGATAATGTTGTGTAAACAATATCCTCCAATAATTGACGTTTATTTGTATTTTGTATTGGTTGTGATGTTTTAAGGGTGCATTTGTATGCTCTTTTGCTAAATGTTTTTATGTACGAGTTTTCAAGTTGTAAAAACATTTTTTTTTTGTATCTCTACATCAATGGGAAGGACGAACACGGTACACATGTTATTATTGTGATCAACATTAAGATCAGTCCTATCAGTTATACATAATATTTGATCGTGCAATAACTACACACCATGCTAGCTTGCTAAAATTATTTACTTATTGATTCTACAAAGTAATATATGACAATAGTCATCACAGAAGCTTCATATATCCATATGCTTCAAATACAAACATTGGGAAACCGAATACACGAAGGCAACGTACTAGACTTGGATATCCCCGATGTTTGCGTATGATTTAATTCAATATACTTATGAATACAATGAGATGACATTGTGGGTTAGCGTCAATGAGACAGCAATATCTACGTGTTTAGACAATATCTCTAGCTCTTAATATATAAGTTTATAAGATTTGGGAATAAATTAAAATTAAATAATCAAAGATCTGTAATCAATACATCCATATTTCAATTTGAAAATAAATAGGTAAATCTGAATGAAGTTATTTGATAGATTTATACTAAATTTTTATTTTCAACTTCAATGATCATAATACTTTCTCCTTGATTGATCATACGACCATTATGATATTTTAAGATCTACACATAGCCTTTTAGCCAAGTATTTTAAATCCATGTGGTGCCGAGGATAGCTTTCACAAATGCCCTTTTCAAGGCCATCAATATTTTAACAGAAAGAGTCGTCCTTGTGTTATACATATGAGGCATTTAAGACATAAAATAATTCTCTGAAGTACTTATGTATTTTGACAATTTGTAACTACAGTAAGATATGTGCAAGAGCTCCTTCAACATGTTTTTTTTTCAACGGTTCGCGAAACGCCCTTCTATTGTTAGATCGGTATAATCAGAAAAAATTTAGCCCCTTCGAGTCAGTGTATTTTCAAGACTGTCAACTCTAGTCCCTTAAAATTTCTTTCACTTCGAACTGCGCATTCAGCATTATCATCTTTTTTACGGTTAACAATTCTTGATATCCACCTTTTCTACGATCAAATTCACAGAAAAAGATATCAAAACATTTAAAAAATGACAACTTTAACATCAATCTTGTTTCTCGCAATACACAAATCTATTGTCTAACATCTTTTGAACAAAAAATGGGAAGTTAAGATCTTAGATATAAGAAGATGTGGTATGAGTGTCAATGAGACAACTCTCCATCCAAGTCACAATTTGTAAAAAGGGCCCAAAAAATTACTTGTGTAAAACCAATCAAACAGGAAAACCAACGGTCTAATCTATATAAAAAACAAGAAACGAGAAACACTTCTGAACCACATCAACCCACGACAACCACTTAACATCAGGTTTCTGACTTAGGACAGGTGCAAACAAATGCAGCGGGTTTAAACGTTTTAATAGATACCAACCTTCACCCTTACCTGAAACAAAAGTGTAAAATCACAACATAGAAATACACACTATAAAATATCAATTTAAATGGCTTAACTCAATCAAAAGACATATTAACAAAAACAAGTGAACATACACTGAACGAATAAATTTGATCTATGACACAATGTTTATACAGATCAATAAAATAAGGAGTGAGATGTTAAACAATATTAGAAAAACAACCATAACCTTGGGCAAAATGCCGCCAAAGAAAATAACGTACACAGGTAAATAAAAATAATTTTGTTGTTATGTATACAGTCATGGAGTACGGAAATATTTTTTACAAAATAAATAATTTTGTTGTCAATAGTACGAGAACAGAAGTGAAAATTTATAGTCATACCAAGCACTTATCAAAGCTGGTATATCTTAAAAATAGTGAATGAGTAATAACACTAATTAAGTAAACATTAAATAACAAAAATGCATTACACATTGTATGAACAGGTCAAATTAACACGAAAGTACGATTTGAGGGTACTCGCAGTTACTGAAAGCTAGTTTAAAGCCGAGAAAAATTAATAATAAATCATGCACCAGAGACTAAAATCAACTAAAACACATCCCTGGGATTTAGTAATTGAACGTCATGGACAGTCAAAGAAGACATGACTTGTGTAATGCCAAAAAAGGGCATCGACAGGCAGTAGGATAGTTAGGAGTTAACCTTTTAATAAATAAGTATAATGTAATTTATAGATAGAGTAATCTCTATACAGAAAATGAACGTGGATGTGTATGTATACATCCAAAAAAAATAAAAAAATATTCAGTTATGTTTTAATTTGCTGATGATAAAATCGATACTTGTGCCAATGTAAACTATATTCAAAGATCTAATTACAACATTGGTAAGATTACCTTTACTAATAAGTTTGTTTAAAGGTTCGATGAGTTTACACTGATCAGATTGTATTAATACATGTAAACATTCTGTATTAATACCGGTAAAAATTATGTTTTAACGGGTTGTTCTGTAATAGACCTGTTTTAACATGATAAATGACCAGCTCTCGCACACTGGAATTTTATGTTACGAACAATCTATAATACATCTTCAGTCATTGGTTATTAATGAATTGAACTGTCCACGAAGGCAGGAACGGTATTGGACAATTGACATTTTCGCTTTACAACCATTGTAATATGAAGGTGATGTGGTATGATTGCCAATGAGACGACTATCCACCAAAGTTCAAATGCAGTGTATGAAACTATTATAGACAACCGTACGGCCTTCAATAATGAGACAAACCCATACCGTAAAGTCGGCTGTTAAAGGCCCCGAAATGAAAAATGTGAAACAGTTGAATTGAGAAAAGTTACGGCCTAATTTATAACAGAACATCAGACATGAACAAACGACAACCAAGTCTGTACATAAACAACCATTAGTTCATGTATTAAAATACTAATTAAAATTTTTTTTTTTTAAACTACAGTTAAATGATTTCAAACTTTATTACTAAGGCCACCTTTTATTTATACATTTGATAAATTATGACATTTAGGCCGTTAACGAACACAAAGCTCTTTGTGTGTACCTGCAGTTTGTTTCTAATTTTATAAATGAGCATATAAAATAACCTATTATTAATTACTGATTTATTTTCAAAACATTTTTGGGGTGTCAGTGATTGTCCTTGTTGTTCCGGGACAGTTGCAAGTGATTGGTATTTTAATATTTTGATATTATGTGTGTGTCTTCCTAAATGTTGGTACAATGTAAATCTTTTTTAATTTACGAAGTTAGGTTTCGAAGCGGAATAAAGATGTACCTGTTTTTGTTTCAAACATATTCGTTTATCCTACATATTATATACCACACTTAATTGGGGTTCAAATGCCGAGATGGATAAGGCTTTATGTTTTATAAGTAAAATAACATGAAAGGGAGAGCGAAACAAATCTCCAATTCACTGCACAGTATTGAAATACCAAATGAACAAAACTTTGTTTCTTCCTTTTTTCACAAGGAGATATATTTGTCTGGTTGAGAAAGGAGAAATGAGAGGAGGGTGTAAGAAAACAACAGAGGGGTGGGAAAAAGGAGAGTACTACCCCCTGTCATCCCCTCATTGAAAACAATCATTAACTTTTGAGATACCTTACACAATTGATTTCACGACTGGAGGCAAACAATATAAGAGTCTTTTACAAATATTCAAAAAAAGAAATATTCCAAGCCATATTTCTGATGAAACTGAATTACGGAAAATAGAAAACAACACGGTTAATAATTTCATGCATCCGAAGCGCTTTTCTGGATTTACCTTCATCAGGAACGCTCAATGCCAAACATTTGAAATCCGAGGGATGTATAAGTACCGAAACAGTTGAAGAGATATATAACAAAAATACCTAAAACAAATAGCCAAAGTCATCTAAGGTCAACTTTGCCTGAGGGAGTTGAAACCTTAGTTTCTTTATAATTTCAAAATTTATAAACGGAAGCGTGTCAGATGTTGGTCCTATTTTCACAAATTTGTATATGACGTCATTTTCAAAATAAACAAAGAAACGCTATCTTCAGGTAGCATTGTTTTCTTTAGTACCAAAGTTTAATTAAATTAAAAAACATTTGTATACCTAAAAACAACGAATATACAAAGTCGGCTTATTACTGAACCTTGTACAGATACGCAAATCTGCCTGAGTTATTTGAGGTGAGTTTGCCCTAGATAGTTCCAAAGGTTCATTACTAGACTCTGTCGTTGCAACTTATTTCTCAAAAGTTCGCAACACGTCACCTGCACATCATTGTAAGTCAGAGCTAGCCTTGACAACCAACTATGACCAGTAGAACACTTAGCCTACATGCATTCATTAACATGTTTGTTCCTTTAACGCTTGTATTAATGCGTTAGATTAATAACACTGTCATGGATTCTAACATGTTATAGTATGAATTAAGTGTTTCCAGGCAGTTTGACGAGTTCCATCTTAAAGATTTTAACAATTAGGCATGTTAAAGTAACTCACACTAGTGTTAAAGAAATTAACACGAAAGTTGATGTTTTAACACTTTAATGTTTTAGTCAAGTGTTTCCAGAAAGGTGCTAATAATGATGTGTAATCGTTAACACTTGTTTTTACAGTGTGAATTATATATATTTTAGATTAGGATACTTGCATTGAACCGAATGTTTAATTTTTCTATACATGATAATAACTTAAGAATATAAACTATGAATAACCCATAGTTTGTTTTTAATTTTTGGTTTTAATTCCTTCTTTTTTCTTTTCTTAAAAACGATTCTTACTATCATTACATCGGTAAGTGCTTTATGTAGCCTTGTGTGTTAAAAATTGCAACCTTAGTTTAAATCCAGTAAAAAAGCACTCGACCCTACAATATAATTTCCAATTTAACCGCCGTCACTGGGGTTAACCTCCTCGAGATATGAGCTAACCCCCGCCATTAACTCTAAATATTTACATTTATTTAGTTGTCGTTAGAATAAATGGTCATTAGATTTTTGAAGACGGCATAGTTTTTGCCCTTCCTGCATTAAGTGTGCTTATTATGCGCCATGTCTAGCATGTATTGTTACATTGTATATGATAGACACTCGATAATTTGAGCTTTATGTATAAGGTGGATGTGTAGGCTAGAGCACTTCATGTTTATGTCTGTGTTTTGTTTCGTGGCTTTGTCTGTCTGTTTTCTTTTGGTCATTCAATCGTCTGTTTTTACTCGATTTACGGCTTTTGGTTACCCGCTTTAGGGTCTTACAATCTTTGTTAAATGCAATGCTTTTTACACCTTTGATTTAGTAATTTAGACCCTAAATAGTTTTGATAGTACTTACAATCTTTGTTAAATGCAATGCTTTTTACACCTTTGATTTAGTAATTTAGACCCTAAATAGTTTTGATAGTATATCAGGATATCCGTTTGAAAAAATAAAATGATAACAATATCAGAGCTTAAATACAGTTACCTTGTAAAAGCAATATCATCTAAATTAAAAGTGACTTTCAAAATATTTCAAAAAAGACACTGGTCAAAAAGAAGAAATAGAATTGTTGTGGTTCAGAACTGAACAAAATGTTGAAAATCAGACCAGAAGAATAAAAATCTGTTGATGTGACCTTGTTTACTCTATACGAATAAATGATTGAACAGATAGGCGTTCGAATGATCACGATAAAACAAAACCAAGCTCTTTATCAAAAGGTCAATACAAGTGTTGACGTCAAATATCACACTGATAAATGATTTACATTTCGAAATGTATGTTGTACAAAGCGAAATACTTTACCAGTAAATAGTTTGTTATCTTGAAAATAGGCATGAACTATTTAGAAATATTAGGTATATGATAAAGGTGAGATACCCCTGATTTCTGATATTGTAACTTATTAGGTATTCGGATATGAACTTAAAGATAAAAATTAGTACCCAATATAAATAGTGGCATAAGAAACTTTCATTATATCTTGTCTCTATCATTTGATTAGTTTATATCAGGTGAGCAGATTTATTTTCATCGACTTATTGAAGATGGTATTCTGTTGGGCTGATTGCGTTCTATATGCAGGTATCTTGTTTTTAAAATATTCTGTGACTAGTTATTAAAACAATAGGTGTTGTAAAGAAGGAATAACAGTAATGTTTTTAAAGGGTAAAACTGATAAAAGTTTTTCCGTTTTTCATAATTTTCGGAAGAAAATATGTTAAAGCAAATAAACAAAAGAAAAAAGTTTGCAAATGCATTTATATGTGTTTTTTTTTAAATTGTAAAATTCTGACCACAATTATATTCTTCACTGCAGGCGATCGTATCGTCTTGCACTTATTATAATGTTGCAGTACAAAATATGATTGCAAGTACAGCAGGCGATAATAGAGCGTAGAAAAACATCATTTCTATATAGACAAATGTATGAATTTTCTTTTAGTAAATGCGAGCATTCTTAGATGTATTGTTTTAATTGTACCTGTGTGTTTGTTAGACTGATGATGTAGAATCAAATGCTTTTAAAACTGATAGTTATTGACCTTTATTAATCTACTGATAGAGATTAAAAACCAATTGTTAATGTGCATGTATCTTGTGTTTTGTCGAAGAACATATGATAACCTCTATGTATCTTACGTGTATTTCTTTGTTTATTCATTCCTATAAACGTCTCCTTTGATTAGAGACCATAGCATATCAAAACGTATGCATGTTTTACATGGCATATGTGTATTTCTGTAGTGTTAAGTTGCTCTTTCACTGATGTTAATTACCTTTAATGTTTGTTTATTAATTTCTAAATGTTTGTTTTGATCAGTGAACATATGTCTCATAGCATTCTCAAACGTGGACATAACCCATTCATTGCCAACGGCACCAATAACACTGGATCATAATTGTACAGACTGTTGTGATTTACTATCGTGTATGGGACTTGACCATGTACAAACAAGTACTAATGTTACGGACTTCACCGACATGTTGTGCAGGTAATACCAGGATCTCGTTGAAAAAAAAAGTCTTTAATATAGATTCACCTAATGCATTTTAATAAAATCATTTAACTTGTTAAGTGCTTATTTTTTTAACAAATTTATCTTAATATACAATAAGGAAAATGCCGATGAGACGACTATCCACCAGAGTCAAAATGAAGTTTATCAATGATTAACAATAAATTCAAGAAAATGCTTGTCAAAATACAGTTCTTTTGTTTCATAGTTGTACTGTAGGTACCACAAAATATTTTGAGAAAAGTTAGAAAACTTTAAACTTTTCATTGCAGCAAGAAAAACATTGCCATTATGCCAACCTGTTATACAAAGCATAATTTAAACCATTGTTCTTACATGAAAAAACTGGTTTCAAAAATACCATCTACTGATAAGATGGCAGAAGGATACACACAATTCTGCAATCATAAGGAGGGTGAGCAAACAAAGTATAGGCATTCTAACTATCTTCAAAGATTTGTTTAAAATACTAAATGTCTGTCCAATTGCAAGAATGTAGGTGATAAATGTATATGTTATTCGATTGTTCATGTTAAAGGAATATTAAAAATTAGGGGCGAAAGATACCAGAGGGACATTCAAACTCATAGATCGAAAATAAACTGACAACACCATGGCTTAAAAAAAGAAAAAAGACAAATAGACAAATAAAAGTACACAAGACACAACATAGAAAACTAAAGACTAAGCAACACGAACCCCACCAAAAACTTGGGGTGATCTCCACATGTAGCACCCGTCGTGTTGCTAATGTTATTACAACCCCGGTAAATAGTCTAAATCGGTAGGTCACATTCGTGAAAAGGGAACGGGATTGTAGTTACGACATAAGGAACATATCCGATATCATCTGTGAAACGGATATTCCATAACGGTCAACCAACTCGTGATGGCGTCTGTAAAAGTTACGAAGGGATGATTTCAACTTCACCATTTGGAATTCTTGGTTTAATAGCTTCCTTGTGAGCAGCAACCCTCTATCAAGGAAATCATGATAGGAAATACAAGCCCGGGAATATCGTATCAATTGGGATATATATATACTCCGTATGCAGGCGCTGCTGGAATGTTGCTACATAGAAATGGAAAGTTCACATTGGGAAGCTGAAATCATCTCTTTTGTCGTAAAGTTTTCTTTTCAAACATCCCTCATTGTCAATTTATAGATGTAAGTCAAGAAATGAGGCAGACTTAACTGTATCTGTTGTATCCTTTATCTGTAGTTCGATGGGATAGATGCGTTTAACATAGTACGAAGAGGTGCGAAAGATACCAGAGGGACATTCAAACTCATAGATCGAAAATAAACTGACAACGCCACGGCTAAAAAAGAAAAAGACAAACAGACAAATAATAGTTCACAAGACACAAATTAGAAAACTAAAGACTAAGCAACACGAACCCCACCAAAAACTGGGGGTGATCTCAGGTGCTCCGGAAGAATAAGCAGATCCTGCTCTACATATGGTTAAACTGTTTGTTAGTTTCTGTAAAAGAGGACTGATGGAATGTTCTATTTCATAAAAAAAGACATAAGAGAATATCAAGCATATGTGCATCGATATCATTAGGTAAGAGTAAATAACATGATTCAACAGCTAATTAAAGATCAATGAGTGATCCCACATTAAATATGTATGACATGTTTAAAATGATAAAATGCTATCGATCACGTTTGGACGCAAATTTATACTACATTCAGAAGATGAATTAAGTAGCTTGAATGTTAGTTCTGTAACTTACATAGATTTATGATTACAGAAATGAAAGCTTTATCTTCTTGTTTGATAAACAGCGGTATTGCATTAGATGTGTATCACAGATGTACAGTACCTTACACGCGTGATATGAAGGATAAAGACAGCGACGTCTGCGAGTAAGTACATTTAAAAACCAGTCCATACAGATAACCCCTGATACCTCCGATAACTATTGTTCGAACATTCAACACTGTAAATACTTTTTTGACTCGTAAAATTACTAACCATAGACGATATTGACAATTTCGATTAAGATTTTAATGCTTCAAATGAGTGAATGAAAATGTTGGATCAATGACAATACTATTGCATGTGAACAATATACATTACACGTAGTAAGGTATGCAGTAGCCGCCAAAAGATCTTCGAAAATAGACGTGTTGTATATTTAGCTTCACAAATATGTAGATTGTAGGTAACCTGAAAAAATCGTTCACTCGTTTTTCTATTTGAGTGTTCACAAATACCATGATGGACGGTTTGGTCGTTGGAAATAACAAATAGACTATGTTGAAATCATTATAAACCTTTGTGTACTAACAACGAAATCGTTTTCATGTTCAGCTAAACCAAAACAATAAAAGATAGGAAAAACCAATGCATGGTAGCATACATGTAAAAATCCTATTAAGGTTGAACATTTTCGTTTTAATGTGTTTATAGTAGCTATTTAATAATGCAAAGATTATCAAAAATTAGTAGGCAAACCAAATGTAAATAAAGTAATTTAAAACATTTTTAAATCGACAGGCGGGTTGATTTACAAATTACTAGTTTGCAAGTATCAATATAATTAATATCAATATAATGCAAAGATTATCAAAAATTAGTAAGCAAACCAAATGTATATAAAGTTGTTTAAAACATCTTTAAATCGACAGGCGGATTGATCTACAAATTACTAATTTGCAAGTATCAATATAATTACATGAAAAAGTAAGCAAGTGTCAATATAATTACATTATCCATAAAGTAAGTAAGTGTCAATATAATTACATGATCCACAAAGTAAGTGTCAGTTTTGTAATATAACAACCTGATCTACAAAGTAAGTCTCTGTTTTTATAATATACAGAATTCTGCTTACAGGACTATAGACACAAACACTCGATGTGTACTTACGCTGATGAAGACTACTAACTGCAGTGATATCATTGGTACAAACTATGAACAATCAATGAAATTACAGAAACAGAATAATCCATTTTGCACCAATGCATCAGATCAAATGTGTAATGTGTTGTATCTTGTAATCATCAGTTTCGTGCTAATCTGGAATAAGATGGCTTTGAAAATATGACAATAAATTACCTAAGTTTGAAGCAAAGCAGACCTCAATATATGATTCATTTTATGTCATTTACACTACGCTAAAAATAAACAAATGCTTCTTAACCTCATGATGTCAATGAATTTTCATTATGACCATTTTGGTTTTGAAAAAAAAAAATCTCAAATACACAACAATTGCTTGAAGTTAGGAATGTGACAGTTGTTATCCATTTGTTTGGTGTGTTTCAGCTTTTGATTTTGCCATTTGAATAGGCACTTTCCGTTTTTATTTTTCCTCGGAGTTCGGAATTTTTTTGTTTTTCTTCTGAAACGACTTTTCTGTATATACAATTTTCTCTAAATTTTGTCGTTAATTTGTATTTATTGTGCTGTTTACATCTATATTAAGAGTGTGCTTGTGTGTTTTTACAGCAAATATATGCTGCTTACATTTCAAAATTGTGTTAAAGGAGGCAATGCCTCTTCAGCTAGAATGTTCAAGAAAAACACACGTGGATATCTTGAAAAAATCCAAAAAATATGTTTCTTTCTATATGACATTAATTGAAAACCCCATAGCCTCATATATCTTGTAACATAGACAAATATGTATATGCTCAGGAACGGGCCCTTGAATTGAATTCAGTACATACTCTTATTCTTATTAAACAAAACTGAAATGTAATATTCAATATGTGAGGCAAACTGGTCGTGATTTTTTAAACTAACACAAGAACATCTATACCGCATCCGCAGGCTGAGAGGTGCAAAAGTTAAATTTACCAACATTTGGATAAACAAAAACAAAATACTAAATTTATAAAATTCCAACCACTTCAAGCCGTCCATAAACAACAAGGACAATAACATAAACAGTTTGAAGATTCCCGAAAATTGCGAACTGTCTTAGCTTAAACGACTACAGACAGCGTCCCCCTAGGTCTAAAATACAATATCATGGGCCAACAAAACATATCTATAACTTCCTTTATTAATTTTATGACTATTGTTGATAAAAGACAACGCATTCATCAGATTCACTGCAATAACCGCAATCAACAAAATAAACATTGTTGAACGCCGTACGGTCACCTATAGTTGTTAATTTCTGTGTCATTTGCTCTCTTGTAAAGCGTGGTCTCATTTGCAATCAACACCACATCTTTGTTTTATCGTTATAATTTTACACTTGATGATTTTTTATCTATATTTTAAAAAAATTGGTAGATCATTTCAGTACCGAAGTACTGACTATGTAAACTGAATCGAATGCCAATTAGTAATTTACATAACAGTTATAACGAGTGTGATGCAATATCGTTTTTCAGTCCAAAATATTATTGGACACGGATTATAACGGCTTTTTGTCACCATAGACTGTTCCTTCAAATAATAAAACTTAAAATCATAAAATTAATTTCTAAAGATAAAATAAAGATGTTCACGCATCGTTGTCAATATGATGGAATTTGATGCGACTGTCATACAAGTGAGAGGTTTAGCTAGCTATAAAACCAGGTTCAATCCACCATTTTCTACATAAGAAAATGCCTGTACCAAGTCAGGAATATGACAGTTGTTCTCCATTCGTTTGATGTGTTTGTTTTTTTGATTTTGCCATTTGATTGGGGACTTTCCTTTTTGAATTTTCCTCGGAGTTCAGTATTTTTGTGATTTTACCTTTTAATTGATTTTATTTATTTGTCTAGTATCTTTATGACTCTACCGTTCAAAACTTTATACCTCCATATTTTGATAACATTGAGCCACCTATAATTTTTTATTCGTATAAAAACGCCGTAGAAGTTTATTTTTAATTATACGTCAGTTACATTAGAGGTCAGTATAGAAGATAGTGCTACTTCAACATGAGTCAGTGAAATATCGAGTTTTAGATATGATCCATATGGCCAAGTAATTACAGGGGACCCCAACATCGTTCAAGACCGAGATGTTATAAACTTTCTGAAAAAAGGATCAAAATATCGTCCAACATCGAAAATAAATTGGGAAAAGTGTCGTCAGGTTATGATAAACAAAAATAAATAAATAAAAATAATAAATAAAAATGGTATAAACGGGAGGAATCTGACAAAAATCACTCGAAAATAATTTAGAAATAAATAAAAGAGTAAGTAATACGCCCATTTCTAGGATTAAAAACAAAATTCAAGTACTCGCAAAGCTTTTTCTGTTCGTACCGGCCGACAAGGCAGCCAACAGTGTGGTGGTGGAAAGATGTAAATACCACACGGGAGTCCTTCAGAATGAAAGTATACATTCAACTACATTCAAGGCCGTACGCTCCACAGAGAGTCATATAGTAAATAATTATGTCACTACCACAGCTTAGCTTAAGTCCTCCTCTGAACATTTGAAGGTCCCCACTATGTATTGCTTGGTTACCTAAACTACCCCCCCCCCCCCCCCCATGAAAAATATAGTTTCATTTCGGCCTCTAGTAAGTGTTCAATTACCAATCTATCGGTGCTTTTAACGAGTTCCTTAACTATCAAAGAATTTATCATTAATCTATGTAATAAAACATATGGAAATAGTGAAATTAACCATTTTTGGAGTGTAAAAAATTCTTTGGAAGTTTTAGATAAATCACGTGTTTTTAATGGTCCTTTTGATTCGGTTGATAGTTTTGACTTTTCCACTCTTTCTAATACACTTCCACACAATCTTATCAATCAAAAGTTTTCCTATTTAATTAAATGGTCGTTTGATAAATCTGATTGCAAATTTACTTGCTGCTACTCATATACAGCCTTTTTTCTCAAACGAGAAGGGTAAATATGCTAGATATACTTACTGGAGGTGTGATGAGATGATTAAAGCACTAAATATTCTCCTTGACAACATTTATGTACGAGTCGGCAATAAAGTTTATCGACAGGTTGTAGGTATTCATATGGGCACCAATTGTGCCTCTTTAATAACAGACTTTTTCCTTCACTGTTATGAATCACAGTTTATGGTCAAACTCAGTAAAGAACCGTCTAAATTCAATTTAATCGATTAATTCAACAACACTTACCGTATGCGTATATTGATGATATTTTCTCGTTAAATAATTAAGAATTTTCTAAATATAATGCTGAAATTTACCCAAAGGAACTTACTTTAGACAAATCAAATATTTACAGCAATAACCGTCCTTTCCTAGATTTAGATATTTCAGTGTTACACCAGAAACTCTACACAAATATTTACGCCACAAGGGATAATTTTTCTTCTCCTGTTGTAAATTTTCCTATTTTAGCACCGTCTTACGGTTTTTATATATCCCAACTCGTTCGCTATGACCGTGTCTGTAGTGACGTTTTGGATTTCAATGAGCGTAATCTGTGTATTACTAGTAAATTATCAAGTCAGGGATTTTGTTACCACAAATTACTTAAAACATTTACTAAATTCTTCTATTGATACAAAGATTTGGTTTGCAAGTTTTGATGTACCTGTAAAAACTTTCAAACTGATAGCACTTGGTGATGTTGTTAAGCGAGCCCGGAAGTTTTAGATACGATCCGAGTAAACTTATCAATCATTTATCATCACGTTGTTTTTAATCTTAATTACGTGTTATAGTGTTCTTTTATGTGTCTTTGTAAACTATTAACCTTTTCTGTTTAGTCCCTGTTTGGTAATTTCCTTTTGGCGTGGCTCGGTACTTATGCATCACGTCAATGTGTTGTTGTGCTTTGGTCATTTCTTGAATTATTGACTTTCACTTTTGCTTATGTGTTTTGTCTCTATACCATTTTATTTTTCTTTGTTGACATATTAGTTTGTTTTTTATAGTGATTAAGATTATAACACAATGTTGACTGATGTACCCCTATTTTTGACATTTTTGCCTATTGTGTCTGTTTGTTTTGTTCACACATTGTTGTCAATAAAATGGAATTCTATGTGACTGTCATGCAAGTGAGAGGTAAAGCTACACGTAGCCATAAACCCAGGTTTTATCCACCATTAACTAAAATAAGAATATGCCTGTACTAAGTCAGAAATATGACAGTTGTTTCCATTGGTTTGATGTGTTTGAGCTTTTAGATTTTGCCATTTCATAAGGAAGTGTCCGATTTGAATTTTCCTTTGAGTTCGGTATGTTTGCTATTTTACTTTTTAAATGAACTTATTACAAAAGGTTACCATTTCAACACTGTAATTAAATCTTTGAATATTTTTTTTGATTGGTATAAAAATGGATTGTGTTATCAGTAAATTATAACCACAATAAATAGTATTGTTATGCATGTATGCACTTTCAAGGTACTACAATCTGTCGATACCTATATTTTGGCATTGCACATGGTAATGTTTTTCCCTGACTGTTAATCATGTTAATGACGTCTTTACACTAAATCCATTGGATGTTGGATGTGTACCGATTGATATTTTAGTCTAATATACCTGAATTTTTATAAGTTGTTATTGGCTTTGAACTAGAGGTCAGTAATTGCGAGTACTCTCAAATCTGTACTAAGACTTAGTGTCTGTTTTGTTGTTAGGGATGAGGGATGGATATATACACTGCCACGTCCTGTCTGTATTTTTGTTTGATGTTTTTCTGTGTATCGATCTGATGGGTTTAGCTTTTTTCAATTGATTTTTTTAGTTTGCTCTTATGTTGTGCTGTTGCACCATTATCCTTGCAGGTTAGAGGAGGGTTGACCACTCACAAACATGTTTAACCACGTCAAATTTTTTATCTGCCTGTCCTAAGTCAGGAGTCTGTAGTTCAGTGGTTGTCGTTGGTTTCTGTCTGTCATATTTGTTTTTCGTAAATTATTTTGGTATAAATTAGGCCGTTAGTATTTCAATTGAATTGTTTCATATTTTTCATGTCGGGCCTTTAATAGCCGACTATACGGTAGGGTTTTTTTTCTCATTGTTGTAGGCCTTACCTGTCCCTATAATTGCTTAAATCCACTTCATTTTTTGTGGATAGTTGTCTCATTGGCAATCATACCACATCTTCTTATTTCTATATTAAAGATTTTTATTCACGAGTTTTCTAGTTGTTTTTTTTTTTATCTCTCAAGC